TTACAGAGAAAAAATATTAGAAGAAGAAAAGGATACAAAAAGTGTCTTATCAGCTCATGGTTAACTGATTTATCAGTGCATGGCGCCTACTTTTACTGAGCCAGGCTATCTGATCAACCATAAAGGACAAGAAAAAATTAGCGAAGTTAAAATAGGGAGCGAGGGGCAAATGCACCTTAAGCTCAAAATCTGAACTTCAAATAATGGAAAGCAACCACTGAACGGATTTTTATACCCTCTGGTAGTACCATAAGCGAGGAGGTAACGCCATCTATCGGCAAAAATAACTGAATTAAGATAGTAGAATTTTAAAGGCATCAGGAAGGACTGGATTGGACTTCAAATCATTAACTAAACCTGCTAAATCTTTGTGAATGTGAAAAGCCTCAAGAAAATCCAATTCACCTATGGAAGAAGCATTTGGATAATTTTTGCAGACCCAGAATCAAAATTATGGTTAAAAGTCCAAATATGATACGCTATTGAAGACTTGTTAATTTCGCCTTTTCTGACATAAGATTCATGTTCCTTGATACGAAACTTCAACGCTCTTTTTGTTTGGCCAATATATCTTAAACCACACTGACACGATATACTATAAATTCCCCAATAATTCAAGACAGAAACGCAATCTTTTAGAATCGAAGGGTGAGTTTTAATAATAGGGGGAAAACTGAATTTCTGGAGAATCCGTGCAATTTATAGCTAACAGAAGGATAAAATGGAAGCACGACAAGGTCAGTAATATTATTTATAACAGTGGAATGTCTTCTTTGATGGGAATCTGAAAATTTTTTAACGGCTTTATCAATAATCACGGGGAAAATCCACGGTCAGTCGCAACTGCTCTCAAATAATTAAGTTCATTGGTAAGCAAAGATTCCAGCGAGGAACAAACTTTGTTCGCTTGAATCTTTGCTTACCAATGAACTTATTATTTGAGAGCAGTTGCGAATGACCGTGGATTTTCTCCCGTGATTATTGATAAAGCCGTGTTAAAAAATTTTCAGATTCCCATCAAAGAAGACATTCCACTGTTATAAATAATATTACTGACCTTGTCGTGCTTCCATTTTATCCTTCTGTTAGCTATAAATTGCACGGATTCTTCCAGAAATTCAGTCGGTTTTCCCCCTATTAATAAAACTCACCCTTCGATTCTAAAAGATTGCGTTTCTGTCTTGAATTATTGGGGAATTTATAGTATATCGTGTCAGTGTGGTTTAAGATATATTGGCCAAACAAAAAGAGCGTTGAAGTTTCGTATCAAGGAACATGAATCTTATGTCAGAAAAGGCGAAATTAACAAGTCTTCAATAGCGTATCATATTTGGACTTTTAACCATAATTTTGATTTTGGGTCTGCAAAAAATTATCCAAAAGATTCTTCCATAGGATGAATTGGATTTCTTGAGGCTTTTTACATTCACAAAGATTTAGCAGTTTAGTTAATGATTTGAAGTCCAATCCAGTCCTTCCTGATGCCTTTTTAAAAATTCTACTATCTTAATTCAGTTATTTTTGCCGATAGATGGCGTTACCTCCTCGCTTATGGTACTACCAGAGGGTATAAAAATCCGTTCAGTGGTTGCTTTCCATTATTTGAAGTTCAGATTTTGAGCATAAGTTTCATTTGCCCCTCGCTCCCTATTTTAACTTCGCTAATTTTTTTTTTGTCCTTTATGCTTGATCAGATAGCCTGGCTCAGTAATAGTAGGCGGCCAGTGCAACTCTGATTAACAATCTAGTTATAACCACGTGCAGTTCTGATAAGGACCACATGTTTCTGTGACTCCTTTATTTTCTTATTTCTAAGTATTTCTTTCTCCTGATAAGGAGGGACTTTTAGCTGCCCTCGAAATCGATGGAGTGTTTCATTATACCTACGCTAAATACAAGGTTGTTTTTACGATTTTGATTGTCACATTAGCGTGTTTCTCTTCTAGTCTATAATTCAGTTTATCAATCAGAGCTATACGCCGTTTATAAAGCCTTGGAATGGATTAAATTCAATTTGATCTATAAATGTACAGTTCATATATACTCGGATGGTATCATTGGGAATGAGAGGGTGGATTCCCTGGCAAAGGAGGTTGCCCTGGGGGATGGGATCTCTGATGGTGATCTACAACATTCTAAAAAAGTTACAATTAGCAAAATGAAAGATCACATATATAAAACCTGGTCTGATCAATGGAATGTGTCTCCTAGAAGATCAGAGGCCTTGTCAAATATATAATAATTAAGAAGAATATGCCTATATTTTGTGATAAAGACTATAATCAATTAGTAACAGGGCATGGACGCTTTCTTATGTACCTACATAAATTCCACCTCCAGGGGGTAAATTTATGCCTTAAATGTGATACTGCTGGTGACTGCATTCATTTTATTGAAAGTTGCACACTCACCGGGGGGGGGGGGGGTTAGGGTAAGAGCCTTACATGGAATCGGAAATGTAAGAGAAATGATTCAAAATTATAAAAAAGGAGTAAGTAAAATTTGCACAAGACATTATGGAAGTCATCAATTCTCATAAAGATGTCATCGGTATCTCTGATTGATCGAGCTAACATACTGAAAGCGTTCAATTTATGGAAACTACCCTTAAAGGGAGAGAAAGACTTTATATGCAAAGGTGCAGGGACAGCTTAAATGTTTTTGTGTTTTTATGTGCCGTGTTATTCTTTTTAGTATACTAACCTTATTTTCTTTTCTTCTTGTTAAGCTGGTAAATTGATTTTTTTTTTTATTTGGACACGGCCGGCTCGTGTCGTTTGTTGTTGGAAGGTTTGCGCCCGCTTTTCTTCATAAGGTTCAACAAACCAGGCGGAAGGGCTGCGCCCGTATAAAACAAAACAAAACCCCCGTGGTTGAGACTGCCTAGGTACAGATCCTAACCAGTACTTCCCAGGCATACGCCTGAGTCAACCCATACATTTCTTCTCCGCGATTCGAACCCGGACCCATTGATGCAGCAGCTAGGATTACTCAGCAGTTTCCTCCGGGCGGCGATCTCCAGATAGTAGAATAATAAACTGAGAAATTTCAATTATTAAAAGAATGACTTAAAAGCATATTTGAAGAAGATTTAGTATTAGCATGAAATAACAGTTTACTGTTTTTATTTACATTAAAGTTTCTAATAGCGCAATGGTAAGAAATATAACAATTTCTACTTTTAATAGTAGCTCAACTATTCGTGATTATTTTCGTATGATTAGCGATTAATATATCTTCATGAAATATTTTTTTGCATTGTTTGTGGATTTCAAGCAATTTTAAAAGTTTTTCCTCCGTACTAAATAATTTATATATCACTCTGTTTTTCGAATTTCGAAAGTTTTCTGTATTATTAATACTACCATAAAATACTTCTTATTATTCGGTAGATAACTCTGAAAAACAAGTTTTGCAGTTTCTGTACTTAACGTTTATTAGGTATGCTTAAGGGGACTCATACACCTTAAAACCCATAAGATGTTGGAATAGGTGGCTGTTGCAAGAATTGGAATAACTTATTTATTTTAAAAGCAATTACTACCAACCTTTTTACAGCTGACTAACATAATATAGCTGCTTTCTGAAATAGCAATCAGAAAAGTTTGTGTTGCCACAAATATTTTTATAATTTAATCCGCTTTGTGACAACCATGTTTCGTCATGTTCCAACTTGCGCGCACAGTTTTAAAAACATTCTGTTTCATAATTTAATTCCATATTTAATATATAGCTTTTATAACATTTGGAAACTACTGTGAACCTAAAATTCTAAAATTTTCATGTTAAAAATTTTATTTTATTTTGAGTTGAGTTTAAAAAATGTATTTTATTAAACAAAATTTGTAATGTTTTCGTCCATAAAAATTTTTCAATATTAAAATATTCATCAGATTGTTGGTTCAGGTTAGAAAATCGTGTGCCCATATAAAGAATTCCATGCAATTTCAAGGTATGTACCATTAGCCATTTTTAAAATATCATGCGCGCAAGGTGGAAAACGTGGCTAAATATTTTGTCACAACGAGGATTGATTAAATTACAAAAAATATTGTGGCAACACAAACTTTCTGGTTACTAGTTTCCAAAGCAGCTATATTATGTAGTCAGCTGTAAAAAGTTGGAAGTAATTGCTTTTAAAATAAATAAAATATCCCAATTCTTGCAACAGTCACATAGTCGAAGATCATGAGGGGTTTAAGGTGTATAAGTCCCCTTAAGCAATGAATGAAACATATGAAACTCTGATACCATAATGACAGGAAACATACAGATTGAGAATTTGTTAACCAATCATCTTTAAATTCTGTATCAGCTGATGCTTCACGGATCGAGATGTAATTACGAAGAAAACCGTTATTTGCTGTAAAACATTTCTCTTGTAATGCCTCTTTTATTCATTCCATTCGCAGAAAATAACAGTTTATGTTAACAACTTCATGTGATCGAAGCATTTTCTGATAAATTTGCCTCTGGATTGCTACAAGAAATACAATACGATGTATTTCCGATGCCTATCTGCTTTTGAATTTACTGAAGACGTTTCAATGTTAGTCAACCAATGTCGCCTGCATGTTATCATCAAATAATAGTCTAATTTATGTAATTGTATTTTTTAATTAATTTATATATTTGCCTTTTTCATCTAATTTACATAATTGCCTAAAGTAGCCAATGATACGGATTTTGATAAATTCCTGAAATTTTTAAATGAAATTCTGTTTTTAATCACACTGCTGTAAAATGTTACAGCACCATTTCTTATGGTATTGCCTCCGTAAAAAAATTTCAACATTTGAAGCGAATCCCACTGAAATATATTTTTCTTGCTCCAGCCTTTATCTTCCAATAATAAGTTGAATAACTGATCTTTTACTGAACTGTTTTAATATTAAATGTAATTAGTAAGAATCATTACCAGTTTCACACATGGAAAACAAACTGCTCTTCAGCCTACCCAATGCTTATCAAATATATTTTGCCTCTGAACGTGTACTTACCTTTATAATATACGTGTTCCGATTGCGGAGACCCACAACATCTACATCAATCAAGGTATTATATTTGTAACCCATATTTCGGAGCTGAATGACAGTATCAATCCAGTCAAAAGCACACGAGTTCCATTTCTCTCCTTCCACCACCGGCCATCCTCCAAGGTTTTTCAGTACTTTCTCCAGAGGTTTGCTACTCTCATTCTCAATCCTTTCTGACAAATGAAAACGTGAAAGCATAAACAGATAAATAGTCTCATTACTTAATACAGTTTATTTGTTTGGCGTTCTTATGAACAACCTTTAAGATTCTTACTTTTATACAATGAATAAAGTGCACGAACATTTATTATTGACTTAAGCCTTCAGTAACCTAAAAGCGGACCATTGTAAATGAAGAGGGGAAAGGGGTACTTAGTTGTATTATGTTTTTAATTCCTATTAAATTTCTTCCGCACAACTAACATTATATTTGCCTTTGGTGAAGGATTATTGTTTGTGGTGAAGAATTTTCTTTTGGTGAATTATTATTAGTAACAATATTTGAGTTTTACATCCTGTTGGATTGTAACCGAAACAGTGTCTTAAAATATAAAGAACTTCATTTTTATTTCGTACTTTAAGAGCGTTTAACATATCGCATTTTTTAAAAGCTACACGATTCGTGTTTTATCTTAATGCAAATTAGTATTGTTTTAAAACGCTCATTTGGGATTTAACTTACATAACTATTAAGTCAACTTTCAACTCTAACTATGTGAACTATGTGAATCTAACTGTGTTATGTGAAATATGTGGGTGAGTTATCAGCATTATCATAACCAAACTCTTAAAGCAAACAAATTTATATATATTTCTACTACAGGACTTGGGAAGGTTAATTAAAAACACTGCAACACAAAAATTTACAAGTCATCTGGATTTAGCTAAGAGCATAAACTTCCTTTAAAATTATTCCAATCCAAATAATAAAAATTTAACCAGAGGTTACAAGATTCACTTAAGACATCCCAACATTTAAAAGTCCAAATCAAATCTATATTGCGACTCATAATCTAGCTTGAAACAACGATCAGGGAGAACTTCCTGTGACAGGCAGTGTCGTCCTGAATGCTAAAACGCTCACACATTGGCTTCTCCTAACTTTATACAATTGCTTGACATTCATAGCTGTATAAATTCTGGAATAAATGAATCTAGTCGCGAAATGAGGCAGAAGACAAGATGTAAATGAAATAAAAATTTACAAATGAAATTCAAATAAAATGCCGCTATTTAATACAATGAATAAAGTGCACGAATTTGTAAGTAATAAATGCAAAATGAATTAAAAAGATTTTTAATAGTCCTTATTTTTTAGTTTTTTTTATATATTTGTAATGAGATTACATATAGGGCGCAACAGGTCCGCTGATTGATATCACCGTTGCGAATACCAGAAATCTTGTCCTAAAATAATTTTTTTTCTATATCGAACTGAGTTGGTAGAAAACATTCCGCGGCCAATGTATTTTAAATTTTATTTTACATAATATTCCTAATATTATATATAAAGTAATCGTTTTAAATAAATGCAGTGTACATTGATCTTAAAAAGACATCTCTTGCCCTCTTGCCTGAAAGTAATTGCTTAAACTACATTCACACATATGTAAGACATAACTGATAAAGTAATGCACAGGTTTCTCAGATGCGTTTTGATTGTTCGATCAAGTTTGACTTTAATTAAATAATGATGAAACAACATTTGAAAAGAGACTTACCTACATCCATGCAAGAGTCATACATTTCTTTTAGAATGCGAATGAAATTTGGTTCATTTCCAGCCAACTCTTTTTCTAGGAGAACTAAAAATGATAAAAAGAACTAAATTTAGATCTTCAGATTACAGTTTAATAACTTTTGTTTAAATTTCAAAGGAAAAAGAATGTATATATAGAGAGATATATGATTCAATCATTACGAAAATACGATAAATGTCTATGTACATTTATTCTTAAAATTAATAAAACGCAGGCAGTTTAGACGGGGAAGGAAAGCAAAGAGATAGTAGCAAGATAGAAGCTAAGAAAGGAGTGACGCAGTTTATTTCCGAGCGGTATTTATACAAAGTACATTCAGAAAGTACTCCTTCATCATACTCTTATCTTTACATGCAACTATTCTTGTTATTATTTTTATATTCACCATACTACGCTCAATATTCTAAACATTATACATTTTCAACATCGTATTCAAAACACTTCTGTACCAGTTTTTCAAAATTAACTCATTCATAAAGTAATTCAAAATTCTTCAAATTCAAACTTTTAAACAATAATAACATTTCTAATTATTACTCGAATAATGTTATTAACCTTTTCTAAACAAAATAACTATTAATCTTTAAATTTGTTATTAAAACATAATTAGGAAAAACTAAATTTTTGTCACCATAAAATTTCAAAGCAGTACTTAATTAGAAATAACTTATTTCAAAGTAATGAAAAATGTTTAGGATACATCATTTCCAAAATCACATTAAATAAAAAGTCAAAATTTGTAAATTAAAAATCATATTGGAAATATTGAGTTATTTTTTAAACAATATTTTTTCTTTTGCAAATCAACATAATTTCAGGAATCTATCACTTCAAAATCAGTTGCTAATTCTTAATTATTTGAATTCTCATTCATATTAGGGAAAGTTATTGTTTGAACCGCTGAAAAGAACGTCATTTAATTTATCCGACAAAATAGGCTGGGGGGAATAAATATGAACACGAAGATCGATGCCGTGCACTGAAAACGAAGTTAGATTAAACATTAAGAACCTGACTGACTGACTGATAACTTATAGCCAGAATACCACTGAGATCAGTAGTTTATCTGGCTCAATCAAATTTATGCCGGATGAGCACAATAACATAGAACTATCTTCACATAATGTCCGCAGTAAGGAGGAGAAAGACGGATAAAGAATAGGAAGACCAGCAACGCAAGAGCTCACTAGCAAGTAACCGGCCCGGTAAAGGCGTGACTAAGTGGGAGTCATAAAATGAGTGTAGAATGTGAATAAAACTAGTGAATTTAAGAAATACACAGTACAATAAATGAGTAAGATACAAAATTAAGAATGCTAATAAACACATTAGGTACATTATTTACAGGTGGGCACTAGGTGGGAAAGTTCGGGTCCCTGATAAGGGGGCCGCAAGTGGGCGCAGTTTGGCGTCCTCATTCAATATTTCGTAGGTAAAGATATCAAAATTTCTCATATGGTCACAGTTCAGAGCTTTCATGAAAAATTTCCTGTTGATCTTATTGAGGTGCTGTTCTAGAGTGTCCAGTTTTAAGTCACAGTGCAGTGTAGCATTGCTCACAAAAAGTGAGCATGGGTGATAAGCTTTTGTTTTGCATGATTTGAAGTCTTTTTGATCCTCCTTGGTAGCCGTGCACCAGGCCGGCGACGCATAGTTCATCAATGACCTAATTGCCGTGATATATACTAGCCTCTTTTCCTGAGATCTAAGCTAGAATAATTACCCAATATAGGGATGAGACTTTACAACAGTAAAAATTTTTCTTCTGACCTCTGTTATATGATCTCCCCATTTTAATCTTTCATTTAGCATTACTCCTAAATATTTCGCCTTACTAACTCTAGGAATCTCTTCAGAGAATAAGAAGAGCTTGCTATTAATAGTCAACTGTGTATTTTTCCTCCTTATCAATAATAATTGCGACTTGCTGGCATTAATAGCAATTCTCCAAGTCGTACACCACTTTTCTACCACTGGTAGAAGCTCCTGTAATTTCTTGATTGCATGGTGTGCGTTTGCGGACTTTACGGCTAATGCCGTATCGTCCGCATAGCACCCAAGACCAAGAAAGTATTTCTGCAATGTGAGCCTAGGGAAGTCATGAACATAAAAATAAATAAAGGACGGGCCCTAAAATGGACCCCTGTGGGACGCCTGCATTCATGGTGCGTAAACTGGAGATGTCCTTTCCAATAGCCACAGTGAATTTCCTATTAGTGATGAAAGACATAATTAGCTGAATCAGCTCTCTATCCATAGGGAGATTTATAAGTTTATAAATAAGCCCCTCATGCCAGACGCGGTCGAATGCCTTCGCCACGTCTAGCATGAGTACTTTAAGAAACTTGAACCACTTGGGTTAATATATGAAGCTGGATATTTTCTTTTTACTTCGAACTTTTGATCGCTAGTTATAAAGCAGAAACAGATTGCACGTCCAAACACTAAAACAGAGCAAAATGATAAGATTTCTTTGAATTTCTTGATATTGCTGGAAAATTTAGCGCTTTTGAGTCCGCAATTTAATTCCGTAACCAATGTTCAATCAAGCAGGGATCATTTCGCACAGGTTCGAGTACGACTGCATGATGAAACTGCTTTCGTATTGTGAAAAAACTGCGTTATTAGTAGATGAAATAAGATGACTTGTGAGAGTTGCAACGGATTGGGTCCGAGAGGATTGCATCATAACTTGAAGATTTAGCAGCGTAGTTAGCAAGCTGACACTCGAAGAACAAATATAACGGTAAATTCCATGCATAACTTTATTTTTCGATAATGCACATTATCACAAATTTTTAAGCTTACATCACAATTGTTGAATTTAGAAAAACAAAAAACAAACTCGACGAGTCTAAAGGCAATGTAAAACAGCGACACGAAGCAAGAGAAAAGACGGAAAAGAGGAGAGTTGTGACGCAATTGACCTTTTTAAAAAAAATTCCATTTCAGATCACATGACACTTCAGCGTTCAGGATTTTGGGTTCAGATTTCATCGGTAAGTGCGCATCAGAACTGCAGAGAGACAAATTTATTGCTGCTATTTTTAGAATGAAACGGAAGTTAAATGACTATTAACTTATTACTTGAAAGCTAAATTATGCATTGCACACACATATATGTATGTGTGTGTGTAATGAAAGCAAATTTAGAAGTACTGATATAGGAACACGGGAGACGTAGAAACGCAGTAATACCGATGACGTAGATACTTGATAGCTTAGAACGTAGATGGCATACTGAAAAAGAAGCTTGGCAGCAGATGCGGATTAAATTCTATTTTTATTTAAATTGACATTTGTGGCCACAATTTACTTGGTACTTTAATCGTGCCTATTCAAAAACATTTCCGATTTTGAAATTGTTGCTATGGAAAGAGAGCACAGATAAAAGCGTGATTACAAGAATGCTAAAATGTGAAATTATCCAACAGAGAAGCTCATCAAGAGGAAGGTTCTGGTTTAGGTTAGAAAGGTTTTAGTGCTTAAAATTATAAATTTATGTATTCATGTCATTAGCGCAAGATGGATTTATCTAGAAATGAAGCAATCCAGAGAAATTATTAGGATTTTTAAAATAGAGGGGTAGAATTAAGTGGTTACCATTAGTTTAAATTGTAATTTTTATTTGCATATTTTTCATTTTACATACTATCACTTCCCTTCAAACAGAAAAAGGCTTGGCGATAGAAAAGTCTGTTTAGAGGAAACCGTTAGCAAAGCAAGAAAAATGCAATGTTGGGGAAAAATCCTAAAACTTTGATCTAAATAATTTTTTAAAATAATAAAATCTTGTTAATATAATTTTTAACAATAAGCGCAAAATTGAAATTCTCAATTGCTCAATTTTCAACGAATATTCGCTTCATCAAGGGGGAAGAAAACGTCGTTGAAGATGCTTTTTCGAGAATTAATACCATCTCCAACCGATTACGCAACTACTGCAGAATTTCAAGATGATGAAGGGTTAACAATTTTAAAAAACAACCCTAGGCTGAGAAGGGTGCAGATTCCCATTTCAGGCACCAACAAATCGATTTATTGCAATGTCTCCACCAACAGTAACCGCCCATACATCCCCTCAAAAGTTTGTCGACAGATATTTCTTCTACTCGTACCTTATCTCATCCAGGGATTATAAGCACAAGAAAATTAATAACGAAAAGATTCATACGCCAAATATCAATAAAGATTGTCAGTTATGAGTAGCGAATGCATGGAAGGCCAACGATCTAAGGTTCAAAGACATGCAAAGTCTTATGAACTTCAAGGTTCCCCCTAAATGTTTTAAACACGTTCGGACTGATATTGTTGGACCTTTGCCTTCGTGTCAAGGTTTCAGATACTTACTAACGATGATTGATCGTTTTTCAAGATGGGTTGAAGTCCTTCCTATGGCGAATCAATCATCAGAAACGGTTGCAAAGGAGATGATCTCAACCTGGATTTCTAGTTGCGGAATTCCACAGGTTAATTACGTCTGATCTAGGGTGTCAGTTTGTCAACTCTTCTCAACCTTGAGCAAATACTTCGGATTTCAAAAATCCAGAACAGCAGCATACCATCCACAATCGAACGAACTGATTGAGCGACAACACAAGATTATAAAAACAAGCTTGAAATGTCACTTACAACAAAGCAAATTTTGGGTAGACGCTTTACCTTTGGTTCTTCTCGTATTACGCTTTGCACTGGAAGAAGATACAGGATACTCCTCATCCGAGCTTCTTTATGGAAGTCCCTTCTGTTTACCAGGAGAATTCATCACCGCGATCGCTAATATCACACACTCAGAGTTCGTGCGAAGGCTATAAAGTATAATCCGTAACATGAAAGGTTTCCAAAGACCTTTTGAATTGCTCACATATTTTCGTCTACAATAACGCGGCCACTTCATCTTTGTAACTATTTTATGTTGGGCTTTACGTTGTTAAACACCCAGCACCAAATTATCTTGACACTGAAAATTAATAGAACTGTTAAAATAATTTCAATTAATAGACTGGAACCATGTTTTACCATAAAAGACGATGATGAACAGTCTCTTGAAACCCACAGGCACATGGATTATCCAGATCCGCAGAGTGCGAACCCATGGAGGTAAGAAAGGACTTCCTACCTCTTACTTCCTACCTCCATGTGCGAACCTCGGGGTAGGCGGGAAATTTCGCCACCGGTCATTCACAACAATACCACACGCAGTGGAAGTACCGTCAGGTTTCCACCCCATTTAAAGATTATGTCTCCTAATCGCTTCACTGGGAAGGGAGAGTGTAGCGTCCTCTGTGTTTCCTCTTCAGCTTATCTTTAATTTCTCTACGTTTTAATTTCCCTAAAACGCCATCACAAAAAAACTGTTCGAAAGATGAAATTCATTGTAATTTCATTTTCAAAAGGCTACTTGATATTTGTTCCAGTCCTGTATTCTCGTTAATGAAATTATTTAAAGTACTTTGTTCTTTATATTATATTAATAATACTTTAGATTTTATGCGACGCACTTCACTACTAATTATTTTAGAATTCAGGTAAAATCCTACTATACTGTTTTAAAATCTAAGCTTTTCAAAGCACACGAAATTTCTTTTCCTCAAAACGTTTTGCTGAAAACAACATGAATTCCTTTTAAATTTATTTAAACCATCGTGAAATTCTTGTTCATTAAGAAGAAAAGTTATTTATCAATTACAGTATGTTTCTCAGAAGTTTGGCAAATTTCAAGTTACCACTTATATTTAGAAGTTTATTTTCATATCCCGTTTGTATTTTCAATTCTTTAATTTTCGTCATTTTGGTTTGGTATTTTATATTTCAACGCTCACTAATTTAGCTGAAATACAGATTGCAGAAAATCAATCTTAAATTCATCCATGTTAAATGAAGTATAATTTATCCACTCAAATGTCCAAAACTAAGAACTTGACTAAAAATTGCTACTTTTCTGTTGCATTATTGCGGACACAAGAAAACATTTTCCAAGACCGAATTATAGTTCTAAATTTAAATGAAAATTTGCTAATTCTGCTTCTACCTTTAGTTGTAATGAAGATAAATCTCTGGATTTAAAATAAATTCCAATCTTCACCATAAATCTAATTTTATTTTCCAAAGGCTCGTTTCTCGATAATTTACAATAAATCTAAGAATATTCGGAGAATAGAAAGCTCATCATAACTGTTCATAATATTTTCTTCTCTGGAAATCCAAAATCTGACTTTTAGTTTTTCCAGACATCTGAACACTTTCTTCCTATATCAAGAAAGCACTTAAAACAAGAAAAAAGTAAAAAACGCAGAAACAAAATCCGTCTCTTCAAAATACTTAACTCGAGATGTTAGCTACAATAACAAATAATTCATATTTAATCTTAAGTATTCATGGCAAAAAATAATCTAATAAATCCAAATCTTTGAATAAGTGTAACTGTGTTCTCTTGTCGAAAAGTCGATCAAGTTTCCATGAAATCAGTTTCATAAATCAAGTTTTCATCTAAATTAGCGTAAATTTAAGATTAACAGTTTTCATTTCCGAATAAAGAAATTTATGTAATCAAAACCAAATTGTAATACTTTTGTAATATCTGGCGACTGTTTGGCGATCAACAAAGCACGCTTGTTGTGTTTCGCCTCTTTTCCTAGAAAGGTTGCTAAATTTAAAGTACAGTAAGACCCCGCTTTCGTTTACGCTGTTTCGGTTTAGAGCTCTTTATTTCAACCCGGGGATTCCACGAAATCGCTCGCAGCATACGGGATTCCCCGAAATATTATGCAGCGATAGGTTTCAATACATATCCGAAAAGAGTGTACTTGTATTTCTTGTTTGGTGCGGTATTGTACAGACATATTTTGAAGGGGTAAATGTGGAAGTGTCGAAGAAATAATTCAAGAAGCAGCGGCTAGTCTTCTAATGATGAGCTCAAGGAATTAACTGAACAAGAAGAAAACAAAAATGTTTACAGCAGTGATTCAGAAAAGAGCAAAAAGAACTTTCGATGGCGTTTGTAAAAAGGTTTGTTTACCATAACTGAAATAATGGATCAATTCATTGAAAATGATCCGAATTTGACAGGAGCTCAAAAGTAAGGCGTGGTGTTAGAGATGCTCTATCCGTTTGTGAAGAACTTTTAAGAGAACAAGGCAAAAAAAAGGAAAAAACAACATTAGAGGCTTTTGTCACAAAAAGTCAGAACGCTGAAAAACGCGGAAGGCTAACTAAATATGACTGACTTAGAATTTTATTTGTTTTTTTTTTTAAGATTCGTTTTGTTATTTATTTTGTTTTTATTTTTGCAAGAAATAATAATGTGGGTATTAATTTGGGCTTTAAGAAATAAATGTTTGGTTTTATTTTATTAAAAAAAAACATACTTTTAAATTTAATACCTAACCAATTTCCTAGCCATCTTCCCCTAACCCCAATATTTACATGTAAAGATAGCCTCGTTTAGCGCTGTTTCGCATTACGCTCTACTTTGATGGAACGTATCCCCCGCGTTAAGCGGGGTCTTACTGTAGTTGAATGTTAACCGTGGAGAAGCGAGGTATTGTATGTTGTAGGAGCGATGTACTGCTCCGAGTTAAATTTATGTGCCTTTATGTTATCTTAATAAATGTTTCGTCTTGTCAAATGGTGCTTTCTTAACCACGGAGCCATTACAACTTTCTTAATTAAAAAGTAGCACCCAAGTTAACCCACAAATTGAAAAATAGATACGTTTGCCTAAGAGATTAGTAAGTATAATTAACTATGAAATTGCCCAGACAGATTTGCTGAGAAAACATCAGAAATATTTGAATGAAATGACGATTGACTACGATTGATTTACCAATACCTTTATTCTGAGAAAATGTTTGCTTATCCCTGTTTGAAAAAAAAAATCAAAATTTATGTATTTTTAGGTAACAATGTATATTAGTCTTAAACTAGCATTTAGAAGATGAACTTTATTTTAAATGGTTAGTTTTTATTCTTCTGTACAATGTAGTAATAGTAATTTAACTGTTTAATACTTGCACGATTTCATATACATACACTAAAATTAGAGTATGAAAAGAATGAACAATTTAGTCTCAAAGAACTTTATAATCTAAGCATTAATCAGCAGCAACATAAATGCTTTTAACAAATAAGGTTGAATCGTGCCCCAAAACATTAAGTGGTTGTACACAGTGCTCTTTTAACTAGTCTTTGGAAACACCGCCGGTTACTTTGATAAATTAAGGATTAAATAATTGTATCTCAACCATTCACTTTGATACATTATCTTTACTGTGAAGGCGAGTTATCACAGTCTAAACTGATAGTAGAAACAACAGACACATGGAACGCAAAATATTAACTTAATTTTATCACCCTTTGTGAGTTAACTTAAAATGATACACAAAATTTTAGTCACCTTGATTTATAGCTATTGGCTGGAATGTACAACACCAACAATCCTTAACTAGCTCAGACTACTTGACTCTAACAAAACTGGCACTTACCAACGTACTGCCTAAATGATCGACGATCACTTTTAATCTAAATGCAGCTAAAAGGCAAGATAAATGCAGCAACAGCGGTCTCTACCAGTCATGCCGGTTACGATTTTTTTCATAAAATTTGCATAAACCACAAGACTCATCAAGAACGTGACAAAACGAGGCACAAAGGAAATCTCAAAAATAAATTGCGACTGTTAGTTAAATGAAACTTTACAATCTTAACATCGCTTTTGGATTTTAGATGGTATATATTTAATAAAGCGAAAAAAAAGTTTTGATTAATGTAATGCTTTGCTTAGACTTGCTGCTCCCAAGCGATTTGATCCTGTGAAGGCTTATGCTGTCACATCACGTACAATAAACAAGAAATGGAACATTACATGTGATGTTAAATTGCAGTCATTAGTTAAGAAGCCGTTCAGGTCACTTTTGTAAGAACAGCATGGTGGTCGACTATGTTTGGACAGTTGTGATGAACATTTTCATCATCTCTTCTGGTATCAATGTCCATGTTGTGATTTAAAGAATGTAGTAATACAATGCAGGTTCAAAATTTAGTAAAAATTCTTTGAGATATTAAATTTCTTTTAGATCTAGTACCAAATGGATCATTAGACGTAATCTGCAGTTTATCTCGTTAGGATCAACAGCACCAGAGGAGGCGTAAAATCTTATTAAAACTGTGTTGCTGATCAGGAAATAAAATTTCATTCCGTCAGGAAATTCTGTCTTTAAAGCCATGACTATCTCTGTTTCATAACATCTTTTTCAGCAGAACAGTGCTCATATATAATTTATTCTGCTGTTTTTTAAAGGCAGTTAAACTTTCATATCTTGTTCAATATGTTTTACTCAGTATTAGTGATCTGTATATGTTACTTACCTTTCAGTTTGAGATTCAAATCATTCGCAATTTCAGAGTGAGCGGAAGTATACCAGCTTCCCTCAGGAACTGTACGTTGGTTTCTCCAACCCCCACAAGCGAACTGATAAAAGTCATCACAAGGATTTGCAGTCTGGTCCAAACTATCAAGGATGTCGAAAGCTGAGACGAAAGTAAAGAACAATTCCAAAAATAATATTATTACTACGTATCTCATTATATTACTTAAGTAAGAAACCGTATAATAATGAAAAGCTTTAAAATTATTTATTTGAGCTCAAAGAATAAATAGGAACGATACTGCTTAGAAAAACTAAAATGCTTCCGAATAATAACGGCAGTATCAACAAAGGATTTTTTTTCCGAATAGTTGATGGAATTCTTGAAATTTTCAAGGAGACTTCTTAGAGGTATTTCCTCTCTGTAATTCTTGAATTTTGCATTTTAGCTCTGTAGTTCTTGAATTTCGCATTTTATTTCAAGTATTACCATTTTAGGGAAATGTTTGTCACAAGCTTTGTCGTGAACGGTCAACTAAATTATATGCATAGTTGCATCTTAAATACTTATATTATTTCTTCTTCGGAAAGGACACATATTTTCATATGTAGTTAATTTACGAGGAAATATCAACATAGCCGTATATTAATATAAGACTGCAGTTCCTTTTAATTATCTTTATAGTTTTTATTTAAAAAATATTTATCTTTCTGGAACTTAAAATTCTTCGAGGTATTACACTTTAATCCGAGTTTTTCATATTGCAGACTTTTTTACTTTACTTTTTTTTTATTCTTTATTCTTCAGGAACTTGGAGAATATATTTTATTTAAACTCTATAAGGTCAATAAGCCTCTAATAACTTTACAAAAATTTCGGTTGAGATAAAAGATTTATGGTTACAGTTAATTTGAAGGCAGAAGAGAAACCCGCCAAGTGAAATATAAAATTAGTAATACAACAACCTTGAGTTTGGCGTCGATTCAAATCAAGATTTCAATCGATTTCGACGACAAAAATGTCCAGGACCCTCATCATCAGGAGCAAAGAAATCTGCAAGATTGATACAGTTAGTCTGCTTACTAAATGCACTAAATTACCGTCGTAAATGTACTCAGTATCAATCAGTGTAAAATCAGTATTGTATTGTTTTCTAAACTTACGCATGGTTTCCTGATTATCTTTCATCCTAAGGCTTGATATTTTTAATGAAATTACACATCTTCTGGTACACGGTACATAAATGATGCAAAATAGTACAAATACGAAAGCTCGTAAATAACTAGAATCAAAAATCAGAAATTATCGTAAAATATTATTTTTAGGTATTATTGTTATTAAGAATGCATGAAAAAATTTGGAAAATATACATTTTCATGCAGCATTCGTAATGTAAAAATTACAGCAATTAATTAATGGTTACACTTAGTAAGTGGAACTTTCAAATACAAACATAATTGTTCTTCCTCCGTTCATGTGAATAGTTCAGTGCAATCCTAATTTATTAGACAAACATATAAACAAAGAAACTAAGAGTTAACTAGAATTGGCGTAACATGAGTCAGTTTGAAAGATTATAGTTTTGAAAATTAAAAAGAATCTTCCTATTAAGCTGGAGAACTGAAAAACACATGTATGAATTTTACGATAGTAATGCTAGTTTTCTATCCATCACCCCTGCATATTGTAATTAACGCTGTTAATATATGAATAAGAGGTCGACAACAGTACTTTGCATCAAATCATCGTTAGACGTTTGTCTAACGCAGTTGTTATATCTATTCTGTGCTTAAAAATCAATTTGAAACTAATTTAGCATCTTCGGCATTTCATATCTTTGGTCCACTCAAAGTGTTTGCAAAAGGCAAGAAATTAAAGTCCAGTGAAAAAGTTGAGACTGCCCAGCAATGGATAAACACGCAATCAAAAATTTTCATTCTACGGATCTTACTTACTTAACTCTCCATAAAATCAGGTGATTTATTGCTCCGTTTTTGTCTTCAGTAAAATAATGCCGAACGCAGAAATAGTTTTAAAATAAGCATTTCATTACACCTTCAACCTAACAATTTACACTACCCTATCAACAGAATCAGTCTCAGATACTCGCGGATCTAACACATGTCAAATAAATCTGAAGCATTTAAAATAGGGGATTTAAAATACAAAATGCACTTACAGTTTTGGGTTTAGATCTTCAACTTACGCAAGTTAATGCGGTCAATATTGCTAAAAGCCGAATTCAAGTAAAATTCAGAAAGTGAAAGACAAAACATCGGGACTTCCGGCGAATGCTGCCAACGCTCTTTTTTAATAATTCTTTGCTTATATACATTAATTAATTTGCATCCTGGCGGCAGATGATGAAGGTAGAAGGTTATAGTATTGAAGAATATAATCAGACTAGTTAATATCTATAAATATAACTAGTTAATATCTATAAAAACCTTACGATTTTCTAGATCAGAGTTTCTTAAAGTGTTGGTCGCGACCCCCATGGGTTTGCGGAACCTGTAGCAGGAGGTCGCCAAAAATTTGAGCAGTTTTGATATTTCTTTAACTTATTATATAATAATTTTACAATTACCAAACATTTTTACACAATGTATCTGAAAATAGATAAAGACAATACAGACAAAGAAAAAACGAAAACGTTTCGACGTATTCTTTTTATAATATAAACGTTATTTTAATTGCTTTGCACGCGACGTTGTCATTTCGTCTGTTAGTTATTTAAAATTTTCACATTGTTCTATGTCTTAAAACTAGAAACTAAAGTTAATGACCGAAAACTGCAATAGTATATAAGAGTAGAAGTTAAAAACTTGATGGTTTCAGTCACGCGTGTGTCAGATTTGCGCAATGCTTATGGGGTGACACAAAATTTCCATGAATATTATGGGGTCCAGTGGGTCTCGAAAAAAATCTCAGTGATGAAAAGGGGGTAGCGACTGAAAAAAGTTTAAGAAGCCCTGTTCTAGATTTAAAGAAATAAACTGGGCGATCGAGCAAGTCTATTACATCGGAAGACGACTGAAAAGAAAATATTCTGATATGCACGCTGCATGACATCCTTGTACAACCTATTAAATCATACACATTCTTTGCTGCAATTAATTTAAACTTATTTCCTCGAATTCCATTAGAGATATATTTCTCATTTAGTTTAAATCAATTCTCACTTCACGGCGAGACAAAAATACATAAAATCTCAAAACATATTTTCAAAATCTTATAAATGAATAAGAGAAAGGGAAACAGATGGAATTTGCAAGAAAATTCATTATTATTTCAAACTTATGAGCCGTATTCGTGAAGCTTTGTTTAAATAAGAATAATATGCAAAATCGAATCAAAATATACGAAATAAATATACGAAATATATGAAAATATACGAAAGAAAAACTTTATTGAAAGGACAAAGCAAATTAATGAAAACTCGTTTGCTAACTAAAAACTCGCTTCTTATACAAGGGGTGATCAAATAAAAAGGTACGAAATGACACGGTAGGTACAAATGTAGACTTTATTCAAAATATACACCATAGGCCTGAGCACAACGATCCCACTGATGAACAAGCCGCAGGATTCCTTGTTCCCAGAATTCCTGTGGCCGTGACGAGACCCAGTTCTTCACAGCGTCCTTGAGTACGTCGTCCGAGTTGAAGCACTTTCCTTTCAGGTGTTTCTTCAGTGGACCAAACACATGAAAATCGCAGGGTGACATGTCCTGACTGTAGGGCGGAAGGCCCAACGTCTCCCACTGAATTGGCCAGTTCCATGTGTGTGACTCTGGACACGCGCGTTATCATGGAGCAAAACCACACCCTCGTAAGCAGCCTCGATCTTTTGTTCCTTGATGGACCTGCGTAGGCGTCGGAGTGTCTCACAGTACACATCGGAGTTAATGGTTTTTTTGTGCTCGAGGAATTCCACAAGTAGCGGACCTTGAACGTCGAAAAAGACGGTGAGCAACACCTTGCCTGCTGACGGCACGGCTTTGAACTTTTTAGGGGGAGGTGACGACGCATGCTTCCACTGCATGCTGTCCCGCTTTGTCTCTGGCTCGTAGTGATGGCACCAGGTCTCATCACCTGTGACGATCCGCTCCATGAAAGCGGGGTCTTCCTGATACCGAAACAGATGTTGCAGTGATACCCATACGCAGTTCCTTTTGCTGGTCGGTGAGCTGCTTCGGAAACCCAAGCGGCACACACCTTCCGATATCGCAACCTGTCGCGAACAATTGTCCACACGGTTCCATAGCTGACATCCACCTTTTCACCGCCAACATTCGCAATGTGACACGCCGATCACTTCTCACTAAGTCGTCCACCTTGTCGATGAAATCGCTCGTGATGACAGTGTTTGCTTGGCCTGGTCTCGGGTCATTGCCCACACTCTCACGGCCTGCACGAAAATGGGCACTCCATTTTCTGACAGACTTGTCACAGACTTTCATTTCTCTCCCCGTAAACTGTCACCATCCGGCGATGAAATAGCTGCCGGTTTCTCACCTTCCGCTGTCAGAAATCGGATAACACCTCGCTGCTCCTCAGTCATCGAATTTTGCAACGCGGACGCCATCCTCTCCTTATATGGACTGCCTGCATCATTTGGACACCGCCTTTGATAAGAGCCTGTGCTCTCTCCTGCACATGCGGGCGCCCGCGCATTGCTCCGATCCCAGTCAGAGACTCCAATCGCATCCCGAGATGTCTCGCTACGTTCTCCAATGGCGGAATACGCAAATGTTTAACTGTTACGTTTTTACGTCGTTTCGTACTTTTTCATTTGATCACCCCTTGTAGGTTCTAAAATCACTTCAAAGGTTATGAAGATAACTTCTAAAGATTTAAAAAATCAATTTAATATCTATGAGCTTGGAAATATTAACAGGAACAATGGAATGAATTTTATTTAACAATGGATTAAAACCTCCAGTCTAATAATATTTACCTGCTACGGTAAAAGGCGACAGATTAAGATTGAAAAGCTTAAAAAATGAAGCATTACAAAATGCATTAGAATTAGTGAAACAGGTGTTGATATTTTTATTGCCTACCAAAAGTGTGTGTGTATTAAACAATTCATTTTCACGAAATATTTTATTTTGAATCCAGGGAAATCCATTTTAAAATCAGTTTTGGAATAAAGAGTCC